CATTCTCTATGTGCTCCTTTTATGGGGTTCCTCTTTAAATCGGAGGCAATTTAACTGTCGGCGTTGTTAATTTTTGCCCATAAACGCGCTTAATTGGCCAAATTATGTGTGCAAGCAAAGTAAAGGGGAAAAAATGCCGAGCAAAAAGTAAGCCACAAAGCAATAAAGCCAGTTGAAAAAACTGAACGGAAATACGAGTTTTTTTCCACTTAAAACATAATAAAACTTTGAACACACTTCGCCAAACGAAGATCCTTTGTGTGTTTTAATTTATATTCCATAGGGTTTGGAAAATCAAAATAAAAATTAAACAAAATTTTTAATAATATCATGCATTCAAATCTTGTTTTAATTATAATGTCAAATAAACTCTTGCTTGTCGAAACTGTGTGGTTTAAGGTATATTGCAGTCATTTTATTGCTGTTCATTATGTTTTATTAATTGGAGTACGAACACGAGTATTTTAATTTGACTGTCCTCTACCACATTTTTAAAGGACTCTTCTCAGCCAAAGTATGCAACAGAAGAGCGCCACCAAAAAAGGAGGGGCCAACAAAACTGCTGCCAATTGCAGTTGGCTTGTGGCTGGAATACGGTGGTTCTATGTTGGTTTGCTAGCGGTGACGTTTAATTTAAAACGAAATACATCATACTGGCCAATTATTTGAGCAATTTGGCAAATTAGTGGGCCAAGTCTTTTCGGCTAGCCCAGAAAGGCGGCAATTACCAGACAGTATGCAGCTGTTCCTACTGCGGCCAGGCAAATTATCGTAGCCCACTTTCCAGCAGTTGCTGGTGCTAATTACCGAACAAAAGACAATTGGATATATAGAGAGCGAAAGTCTGGGTGCAAAGTGCACAAATGTCGACTCCTCTTGGCAAGGTTAACCAGCTTGACTTTTGTCAACGCCGTCTCAAGTGCGCCCCCCTCAACAATATCGCACGCATACAGAGCACCCCGGGTGCCATGGGCCAAGTTAAAACGCATTTCTGCCAAAACAATGGAGCCAGCAAACGAAGGGTGAAATCTGAATGGGATTTAGACACAAGGAGAACGAGCAAAAAAAAAAATATGCAACAAGGGAAAATAACAGAAACAGTCAAAGCGGGCCACACAATGAAATTTTAATTAAGTCTGAGCTGAAGCTCGCTTTGTGCTGATGCAGCCGAATGAAATGCCACTGATTATGTTTGTATGCCGGCTACCTATTCATTTAATCAGTAAAGTGGGGTATGCAAGGCTATCAGAACATGGAAAAGGTCATTATTAGAATTAACATCTAAACAAGATGTAATTTGAAACCGTTTTATTCCATGTACGATAACATAAAAGCTTAAACATTATTAAAAAATTTATAAATAAAGTGATCCTAAAATTAAAAAAAAATATATACAAGTATAAATCTTAATCTATGAAAACATTATGATTGAAAAATTATTACCTGAGAGAAGCACTTTAAAAATATTAAAATCCTCAGATAAAATTATTTTTTTAATTATTTAAGGTTACGAAGTACAAACATGTCTACTTATAAGAACCATCCTGCTTGAATGGCTCTTAAACTGCTGAAATGCTGGCACACACACATATTTGTTTGCAATTTTTCTGTGTGAATAGTATGCATTTACTTTTCTACTTTTACTTTCCCCCCACCTACCGCCATTTTCCCTCCCCTCCCCACACCTCCCCTTCCTCTTCTCTCCCTTTCCTATCTCGCCATGCAGTCGTTTGTTGCTTTTGTTTTGCGTCTGAATGGCTACACAAACACAAAACGTCTGCACATTGTATCTTGTTTAGTATGAAACATAAATGCATTTGTGTAATTACACAACATACATAACTGTATCTAGAGAGCCTTGTTTTAGGATGTCTGCTGGTCTTAGCCCACTGGGAAGAATCGAGCGAGAGGGACGGAGACAGCGAGTGAAAGGGACGGAATGAGCGCGATGCAAGGCTTCTCACTAATTGAAGTAAATGTGCTAAAGGCTTGCCAAAGTTATTCGCAATGGGAGTGTTCTTTGGCTAATGATTGTTAATGGATTCATTAGGATTCTCTATTTTTAAGTTCAACTTAATGGGGTAATATAATATTAAAGGGTTCCTTGAAAGCAGTAAGCTGTAAACAGAATCTTATTAAAGTTATGTTTAAATATTCCATCTATATGTTCATATATCTAAATGCATTTCAAATTTTAAATCCACATCGCTCAGCCTTCATAGATCAGCTCTCCCACAAGCATCATTTTATCCTTTCTCTGCACTTAACAGCCCAATCAACTCGGTAACAACTAATTGCAACAATTGCCATCGAAATCGAATAGTTAATTATGCCCAGCATGCAACAGGGCAAGTCAAACGCTGTGGCCTCCGCTCTCATTTAGTTTTCATTACGAATTTTGGCTAAGCACGTGATGGGCATGGCTAAATGAAGATAAATAACTCTTTCGTTCGTATTCAACGTAGCCAAACCTTTCGATTTGTATGCATAGACTAACCACAAAAATGTAATACAATGGAAAAATTACTTGCTTGTCTCCGGATTGCTGCGTTCAACTCCCTGCTTCCTATTTAATTAAGCACTTAATTATTTAATGCGCTGATTGTGCAATATTTCAAAGGACCACACCAGTACTTAGCTTTGCTGAGCTCAGCTTAGCCAAAGTCCTTTGAGAGTATACAATAGGGTGGACCTTAATAGTCTGACTTACATAATCTTAAATAATAAAAGCAAGAAATATATTATCTTTTAAGTAACATAATTTTACTGCAACATCATGTATACTTCTTTATTTTGTATTTTGTGTATGTAGGGTCCACTCTAAATGATATGTGTGTGGAGGATGTGAGTGCGTTGAGGTGTCATAATTATCGTACTGGGTAGCTGAAATTTAATCAGACCACCGAACCATAGGTCAAGTCAAGGTGTGGCTCCGGGTTTCCATTTGATTGCGTTTCTCTAAACCGAAATTTAATGAAGCGGGTAATGAATTACACACAGCAAAACTACACTGAAATAAGTTTGGCCTTTAATTAACTCTTTAATTCTTAGGCAACTCATTACAAATGGTCGAAGCTTTATTTTCATTAAAACAACTATTATTTGACTGCAGCGGTTAAGCTTGCTTGCCCGTAGAATTTCATGTTTTTCAGCTTTTTAATTAAATCTGGTATTTAAGCAAACGACCCCTTCGCACTTGGCTCGAATATTTCTTTGACAGCACATGGAATTAAATGCCTCATATAATTTTCATAAGGTCCACCATTGACTCCGAAGCAGTTGCATTTCATTTCCATATGCTGGCTCTGTCAAGCGCCTGTCTCTCTAATTAAACTTTATGGAAAAGTCCACATTTGTTCCTTGCCAACGCCTTATTAAGCATTTTCATTATTCAGCAGTTGACCAGCTCGGTCTCTTTTAATAATGTTCACATTTTCAGTTTTCAGCTTAAACGAATGAAAATACAATAGAGCAGAAAATGGAGTATGAGTGCACATAATTAAATTACAAAATCTCGAAACGCTTTTATTTGTTTTCAGAGGGGAGCGAGTTAAATGTATTTAGAAATGCAAAACTAAAAAATCAATAAAGTGCAACTGATGTGTTTATTGTTTTTAGTCACATTGCCTATTTACATTAATCCTGGGCCTGTCCTTGCATTTATTATTCAGTCAGCAGTTTTCAATTAATGGCTAAGACAACATGCCCCGCTCACGGAATCCCAATTCCATTAAAACACGAATCAATTTCATAGAGTTCTCGGACCTGCTCCCAAACAGCCATTCTCTAGAGATAAAGCAAATATTGGCCCTCCTCGCGATGCATGTGTATAGAGGCACAACAAAACAAAAAATCAGAAGAAACAAAATCAATCGAAAATGTTTGCTGCACTCAAATTAAAAACACAAACAGAGCAATGCTAGTGTAAGAGTGAATGTAAACAAAATGGCAAATAAATTTGATTTGCACGCAACAAACGAGTGCAGAGCGAAACAAATACACTGAAAGTCGGGTCGGAAGAATTTATGCGTTTTATGCATTTAAAATTGTAAAACAAGCAGGCACACACACTCACTCACTCACATTCACGCTCCTTTTGACCATGGCACATATTTTCAGCCTTGTTGTGCGGCAGAAAATTTGCGCTATTAATATTTGCATTCAACTGGCAACAGCCCAAGCAACCAGGCAACCAAGCAGCCAAGCACCATCGCAATCCCTTGGTGCAACTCCTCCTCGCCCTCTCAACACTCCTTGAAACTATCAACACATCTGCCAGCGGCATTGTCAGTTGACAATGGTCCTTTGGGTTGACGGAGGAGGGACGCGGGACGCAGGACGCAGGACGCAGGATGCTGGGGGAACAGCGCCCGGCAATGGTGCGTATTATGGCTGCAGCTATGCGAGGGTATTCGTGCAACCGTATAGGGGCTTTCTCTATATATTTAAAAAGGCTCAAGCGGCACTTAACTTCTGCTCGAAGCACGTCCTACCAGCAAAGGGTACTGTGGAATTGTTGCAATGAAAAGTGATAGCAAAAGTGGTCATATGAAAAACATACAAATTGTTTTTCTTTTTTTTTTAACAGTCCCCTTCTTTGATAAGACTTTTGATGCAAATATATCTAAGGTCACTTATTAAATTAAATCTTTACTTAATAGTGGTCAAAAACCGCAAGTAGATGATTATAGGTTCATCATATAATATATAATATTATATATTTTAAGCATAAAATCCTTAAGAATTTGTTGTTGGTTTTTTGGAAACATTTTTAAGTATTTAATTAGGACTCAAAGATAACTAAGTCAATTAACACTTAGAAATGTGGATTCTATTGGAAACGTTTTTACCCAAAATAACAGACACTTCCTTTAAAAGCATTACAAGTAAGAGATAAATAACAAGATGTGGCCTTAAAAATAATATCACCAAAAATAATTGAAATTTTTTACGCTTCTTGGTATTGGTTTCTTAATACCTAAGTTATTATTTTTCTTCGACCTATCTTTCAAATGAAATTCCTGAGTGATATTTTTCGTGCAGCAAAATCAAATGTCGTAGACGGAGTTAGTCAGGCATGGCCATCGGCGTACCAGTCAAGTTTCTCCCGTAGACTACGGATGCCTGAACAACTCGAGCCAAGTTACTTGGATGAGCCGGAGTCACTCTCCGTTTGGCGATTAGTCTTCAAGATAATCAAGATTGGTGTGCTGCTCATGGTTTGGGGCTTTTTCACCTACGTTCTGGTTCGGATGGCGACCAAGCCCAATAGCACCGCGGTGAGGACCATGTTTCCCAACGAGACCCTGCTGCGCAAGGTGCGTCTTAACAGCGATAAAGTCGCTGTAACTCTGCGGGGACCCATCGATCTGAAAATGATGAAGGATGGTAGCGGGGACAAGAACGTTTCCTCGGTGGGTGTGCGTATGGAATGGCGGGATACCCAACTGAACAACACACTAAAGCATTCCAGCATGTGGAATGTCTACCTCCTCGAGAAGGACGATGAATTCCTAGAAGCCGAGCAAGACTTCAAGGTCTTGCCGCCGGAAAAAACCGAGGCGAAGGCGGTGATTTCGCTAAAAGCTGATGTGGAGCAGCCCGTATCCCTGCTAGTGGTGGTCGAGTTTTCTCCTCTGTCCACCGACCATGGTGTCTGGTATGCCGCCCTGCTGCTCATAGGTCTGTACATCCTAGTTGTCTTCGAGCTCACGGATCGCACGTTCGCAGCTCTTTTGATGGCCACCACTGGCGTTGCGATCCTCACGGCGCTCGGGAATCGACCCACCCTGACGGACATCATCTCCTGGGTGGACTTCGAGACACTGATGCTGCTGCTCGGCATGATGATAATGGTGGCCATAATGTCGGAGACGGGCATCTTCGATTGGATGGCCGTGCTGGCCTACAGGATCTCGATGGGTCACCCCTGGCCGCTGATCATCCTGCTGGCCACATTCACGAGCCTCTTATCCTGTGTCCTCGACAACGTGACCATGCTGCTGCTGATGGCGCCCATTGCCATCCGATTGTGCGAGGCCATCGAAGTGCAGACGCCGCTCGTCCTGATGGTGATCGTCATGTACGCCAATATCGGTGGCACCCTCACGCCGGTCGGCGATCCGCCCAATGTGATCATAGCCACCAATCCGGTTGTGACCAAGGACGGCGTTGACTTTATCATCTTCACAATGCACATGCTGCCCGGTGTCATGTTGGCGCTCCTAATTGGCTTCGCAGTTGTGTATCTGACAATGCGAAAGACTCTGTTCAAACTGTCGGATCGACAAATCGAATTGGCGGCGGAGAGGGAGGCCAACAGGAGACGCCTGAGTGCGGACATCTCGGTGCGGGCCAATCAAATGCGGGCAAACCAATCGGGACGTCAGTGCCTGAAGCCATCGGCAAACTATTTCGAGACTCTGGCCCACTTGGAGGCACATCATCGGATCCAGGATAAGACGCTGCTGATCAAGTGCCTGGTGACGCTTGTTTTCGTCGTCGCTTGCTTTCTCATGCACTCGCTGCCCTTCATGAAGGGTGCCACCTTGGGCTGGGTGGCCATCCTGGCCGCCTTCCTGCTCCTCATTCTGGCCAAGATGGACGACATCGAGGCGATACTCGACCAGGTTGAGTGGTCGGCCCTGCTCTTCTTGGCCGCATTATTTGTGCTCGCCGAGGCGGTGGATAGACTGGGTTTCATTGAATGGCTGGGTGAGAAGGCGATCACGGTGATCCGAAGTGTTGACGAGCGTTACCAGACCACCGTGGCCCTTCTTCTCATCCTTTGGTTATCGGCCATTTTGTCCGCGTTCGTGGGAAATGTCCCTGTGACCACGATGATCCTGCGGCTGAACATCCAGTTGTTCGAAAACGATGCGATTAGGGTCCCATTATCACCACTACTTTGGGCGTTGTCTTACGGCGCCTGCTTTGGTGGTAATGGCACCTTAATTGGCGCTTCGGCCAATGTCATTGCAGCGGCAGTCGCCCATCAGTATGGCTACAAGATCTCCTTCATTCAGTTCTTCATCTACTGCTTTCCCATGATGCTGGCCACCATTACCATAGCTATGGTTTACCTCCTGATCGCCCACTCAGTATTCGCTTGGCACAAGACATAGCTATAATGGATTCAGCCGCAAATGAAGACCTCTCCTTGCGATCCAGATAAACTCTAATGGACTGTCCATCAACGTGCTGGAGTCGAGATATGGATTTACAAACCTTGACCTTCAAAACTCTATAGTCTTCTCTATCTTTCTTTGTAAAGTAAAAAGTGAACCTCCTTATAAATGTCCCCTATTAAAAATATTCTTTTTATTTAATTTACTATGGTTTTTACAATAAAAACAATTAACAATTGAATTACTGATAACAAAACTAATTAATGTTACAAAAGATTAAATAAATTGCAGTTTAGTGAATTTCTAATTCTTAAGACAATTAAATTAAATACAAATTTTAAAATGTGTTCAATTAAACTATTTGTTAATAATAATTATAATATTATTAATATAGTTCATTTTTACGGGTCACTTTTGCGGTTATGCCCACTGTAATACTTTATATAGCATACATTTGTGCGCAACGACCCCAACAACTCCGCTGCAATGACAATGCGTAGCTTGGCTAAATTCTTCCGCTTAATCGCGCAATAATAGCTCAAGGGTGTTAAATATGCATAAACAGCAGCAGCGAAGGCAGCAACTGCGATTACAACAGACTAGTTCTGTGTGCAGCAACAACTTAACCACATTTGCTCCAGGGTCCTTGTGGCAAAATATAAATATAAGTACTTGAGTAATCAGGACATGAGATATTTTAAATGTTGCAAAATAATTGGTAGCAATTACATTAAAGTTAATTGAGAAAGCTAAATAAAATGCGTTTGCCAACCGAAGTCCTTGAGCCGAGAAAAGCGCCCAATTAAAGCCACTTGAATGTTAAGCATACACGTGTGCACATTGTATAAGAATTCACTCGTGGCAATCAGAGAAATTCTTGGGAAAAACGCGAAAAACAATTGCGCCGCAAGGGAAAACAACGGCAGGGCAAAAACAACAGCACATGCAATCCGCCAATAAATCAACTAATTAAATATACCAATTCGTAGCCAAAATGTTTGATTTTGGAAAATTTAACAACACAACAAGGATCCAATCGGAAGAGCAACCCCAGTACTTTTCATTTTGACTCTTATTTGATGTGGTGTCGCGACTTGATTCAACAGCAGTAAATAAAAGCAGCAACAGATATGGAAACACGCTACGCCATGAAAAACGAGTGAAATAATATCGAATGAAATAAAAAGAAATGTCTGATTGCGTTGGCGTTTCGCCTGTTTGAGGTAATGGCAAACATGAAAGCGGCTTTGCATGTGAGCGGCACACCAAACATAAAAATGAAAAAGAAAATGCAAAAGAAAAAATTAAACCAAAGCAACAATATGTGGCAACAACAGCCATCGGGCCAAAAGCAATGGCAACGTAACACTAATTACCGTAATTGTGCAGGGCGTGTAGAAACACTTGATGAAGGCGACGAGGACAAAACTTTAACTTGGCCTCTAGCCTCAAGCCTCTAGCCTCTAACCTCACTTGGCCGGAAGTCTGTAACCGGGACAGAGATGATTGCGTGATGGAAGTTTTGTTGAAAAAATAAAAAACAAGTACTTAATAAACCTGAAAAAACTTGGTTAACTTAAGCTTGCCTTAAAGCGCATACTGAATTCTCAATTTTAACTTAATTTACTTATTTTTGCTGATCTAAGCAGCCACTTTTTTGGGATTTAAATTTGTTTAAGAAGTTATTAAACTTTTATTCACAATTGTTTGCTTTAAAATATTCAAAACAAGTATTTTTGATGCTCGTTAATCGTTCATCTATATTATTTTGTTAGTTTAAAAAAGTGAAAACAAATCAGTAGGCTTATCTTTTAAAATAGTTAGCATCTAATAATTTAAAAAAAATTATAAATGCAGTTATCCTATTTTTGTTGTTGTTAAATAGGTTGATGTTAAATATTTATGAAAATAATAATTAAAAAAATATGTTTAACAATCTAAAACCTTGGTAAAAAATGAGAAAGATTTTTGAAACCAAAAAATCGTTAGAAAGGCTTTCCTGTTCTTTTTAACGCTTATAAAATTCCTTGTGATGTTCCAGAATGCATAACTTCCGAGAAGAAAAATTAAATTTTAAAACATATGATACTTTTCCATGATCACCGTGCCAACTCTGTTTGGGGAAAAATAGCTCGTTACCCGGCAACGCGAAAGCGTCACGTTGGCATCGCGTGCCATGTAACGTGTGTTGGGCAATATAACGTATACGTATACGTATGAGGCAGCCAAATGTGTAGAAATAAAACATTAAATTACATCGGATTCCCTTGGTCTTTTACCCCTTATTTCTGCTGGCCGGCTGGTGGCCCATTGTCTCTCTCAGTTGTGACTCCCCTTTTTGGGTCAGGTGTGGTTTGCACGTAGATCGCGCACGTAGCTGAAATTTTAAGCACTCCGCAGGAGAAAGAAGCATAGTCAGACAGACCGCCGGCGGTTTTGTCCTGAAGTGGGCTTTAATAGTTGGCTGTCTGCAGCTGCCGCAGTCGGAAAATCGGAAAAGTGGCAGAGCAACAGAGCAGCGGGCTGCGGCATATGAATGTGGCGTGCTGGCGAACCAGAGTGCTGTTTAATAAAAAGCGGCGAGGAAAAGAGAACAGAACCCGTGGCACTACTGCAGCACGAACCGAAAGTGCAATTATGCAGATGTTTGAGGATCAGCCACAACAATGATTTATGTATGTCTTCTGGCACCAGGCGAACACAAAATGTCGACCCTAATTACATCTGCAGCGAAAGGAACACCGAAGAACGCATAGAATTAACCTGGCTTACACATGAAAAGCCCGAGAAAATCGGCTTTCACCTGGACAATCATGAATTAAATCAGAAATCCCGGGCTTGAGGACACAAAAGTAATTAACTCGACCTCGGTTGTATGCCCAAGGCCGTCATCAATTTCCCGAGTTGTCACTCTCCGCTGGGAGTTGGTGTTAACTCTCGTCTAATTTGTAATTCACCTGTCCACCCACATGAGCAATTAAAAATCCTTTAGGCAGACACCTACATAAAAATGACATTAAATCTGGCAGTGATTATCCCTGTTTTGTGAATGTCCAAATTGATGAATGCGTGGGGAGGTGGCAAGCTTAGTTTCATGAGATTGATTGAATTAGCTATAAATAACTTAGATAAATTTATATATACATACGTGTTTTTATAAACTTTAATGGATTTTCTTATTTAAAAATTAAAAAAAAAAATTAAAAAACACAATAGTGAAAATTACTAAATACTTAAGAAATTTCTGAAAATGGGTTTGCTGAAAATTGACCAAAATTCACAATTTCTAAATCCATAACTTTTCAAATTTTAATCAGATTTTAAAGTGACATACCTGTAACATAATATTGTTTTGAAATAAAAAAATAATTGAAAATAATTTCATGAAAATCGGAAGACTTTAACATATAGCTGTCATTGGAACAATCGGTGAAAATATGGAGAAATAAATGGAAAAATCGTTATTATTATTAAGATGCAGTTTAGTTTTTATGAATTCATAAAAAAAACAATAGCAATAACAATTTTTCATAAAAAAAAAACAATAAATTCACTACAGCTTACCAACGATTCTTGTTTCCGAAACTTGAACTAATCTCTCCAATTATTATAAATATTTGTCTTGAAACTCAGCCTTTACCGCAATACCAGCACGATGCCATCTTCAGTACCGGACCCAAATATCCTTTGGGCACGCACACTAATGTCCGGACATAGTTTTCCGGACTAATACACAGGCGATGGGGGACGGGTCATGAACATATCTTAACCGAGTTGTCCTTGGTGTTATTGTTATTTTGATAGTCCCATTGCATTTTTTACATAGCTCTCCGAGGCTGGCGTACATTGTTTACTGATGGTCATAATGATTACTTATTTCGAGGATTACTTTCTCGCTCCCGCTCGCTCCACCGAGTGCTGCCTCATTTTATTGGCATTGTTAATATTTGCTTTGTTGGCATCCTTGGTTTATTTGCTCAGGATTTGCAAGAATACCAGAGTGTGCTTCGTACGCCCACTCCACATCGTAGATACACGCTCATTTAGTTTTATTGCGCATTTTGGATTGTGGCATTCGGGAATTTTAGCTGGTTGCTTTAGTATTTTAAAGATGCTTCCTGCCGACTTCCGAAAAATGCCAGCTATTTGTTTCCGCTTATTTACTTGAGGTTTGCCCACCGAAAGAGGCAATTAAAATTTTGGTGCTTTGTGCTGAGATTCCTGAGTGGTTTCTCAGAAAATATTTTATAAAATGCGTCATTAAAATTGCTCATCAAAATAAAATCGAGTGTTAAATAATAATTAAATTGCTTGCAAAATTACGAGCATGAAAATTGTGATAAAGCCACATAATAAATTGCAAAGGTAAAATATCATAAAAAAAATTGTTTCACCATAATTCAAGCACCGCAAAATTATTTTTCACTTTTGATTAATGGGGCGGAGAAAGACAAAATGAAGGCCGAATAGTCCGCCCAGGAAAGTCCGTTGGAAGAAACTTCCTTAAATGACAACGGAGGTTATTCATAAATCAAAGAGAGGTTCATTAATTCGCCGCTTGACAATTGGTCAATGTTCGCGATTTAAAATGCATTAAGAATACGGGCCACACACAAAAAAGCCGTGCAAAATTATAACACACAAAAAAAAACACGAAAAGTAGTACTCAACTGCCTGTCGCGGCGGCAGAAATGATTAATGACAAATTTTTTTTTATGAGGCCAGGAAAAATCATGGGGCAAAGGCAGATTCTGTACATCGTATTAAATGTATTTAAATTATTGTTTCACAACCGTAACGAAATGAAAAGTAAGAAGGAGGATGAGAGGCCATTTGATGTGCTGCTCAAATAAGAAAAGCAAATAAATCATGAATATTAAGTTGCCTGGCGGAGAACAAAAGTCAATTGGCCAAGGATGATTGGGTAAGAGGAGTGCGGAAAGGACTCGAAATTCCTAGGCCACTTGAGAGCTCAACGGCTTAGAAAATACCTTTTCACTCCCCCTTGAATCTCATATTGCCTTCTATTTGATTAGACGTCTGTCGTCCAGTGGCCTCAAACTCCAAACTTCCCCTAAGGCAGAAAAATGTTTATGCAATTGGATTCAATTTTTCGATCCAATACCAACATTTGAATGATGCCAGTCGAACACACTCACACTCACACACTTCCTTTCCAAGGATAAA